GGCCACACCTCCGAATATCTGACTTAGTAGGTGTGGGAAGGGGCTTGGGCCTGCACAACTAAAAAGCACAGCTGATGCTCCCATTTGAGGACCACTGTCTTCATGAGTGCAGGGAGGGACTCCAGAATTCTGAAAATTCAACCCAATCCTCTGGTTCCTCTATTACCCAAGTCTAACTTGAAAACAACACAGTGGGGAAGACCAGCCTTATGAGCACTGGGGTGAAATGGGTAGTATAGTACCTCCTAGCCTGTACAGATGTAATCTGTTCTGGTCCTCGCTGTGTACAGAAGTCCACTTGTTCTGACTTAGCTGATATAGGAACACGCCTATAGGTCCTAGACCAATTTATCTGTGAGTACCTTCTTTTCTGAACACAGAGCAGCTGCATAAAATTTTAGGACTGATGAGTCCCATGAAGCCCAAGTGGACCAACAGAAACCATCAGCAACATGACAACGGTTAGCATGTACTAAGTGCTCACTGTGTACCACACACTGTGCTATTCACTCCTTGTACCACAAGTGGCACACCTTGTACCACCCAGTGTCCCCATTACTATGAGAGCCAGGCATTATTACACTATGCCACAGAGTACAAGAATACTTAGAAGGGCAAAGTGATACAACCAAGGGCACCAGGTGACTAAAGACAGAGACCAAGATTAAACCTGTGCATTGAACCACTCAACTATATGGCTCCTAAGAGCTTTCTTTACTCCAGGAAAAACAGGTATATTTGGGAGATCCGTAACTACAGTCTGCCTACACTGATTCCCCCACCTCCTTTCCAGGATAAAAGTTTCCAGATAATTGAAACATTTTTCATGAGGCGTGACGACCGGTCCTTTAGCCATACTATTCAAGGATTGCACTATTTTAGGTCCTTTGAGTGTGCTCAGGGGAATAGGTGGTATGATTACCCAGAGAAGAATTTAAGTAATTACTCTGAGCTCAAGAGTTAAGCTACTAAACCCAAGAGGCATTATTTTCTTATCGTCTATTGATTCTTCCTACTCAACTAAAATAACTGATTTATTTACATTTGTTTCTTATTGTACTCATTCATCCTTACTTCCATTCTTTGTTTTGTTCACCTCTCTTTGTTTTATACTTGCAGAAACTAAAGCTTAGAGACAAAAACAGACTTGTGTAGGGTCACTTCCATCCTAGGTGGCTGTGCAAGGACTCAAGCCCAGGTCTGAGAGACTCCACCATGAAATACACAACCCGACTCAAAACTCCCAAGAGTCTGTGCAGTCTGACCACTCCAAAAGACAAACTTCTCATTAAGCTGAAAAAGAAATTGCCTAAATTTCGTGTTCCGCACCATATGGCTGAGTCCCAGCTGACAGGAAGCTCGTTTCTGCAACACACGAAGCTCATTTCACTGTGTGGGCTGATGCGAGATGCGCAGGGTGGTCATTTCCTAATCTTCTCAGCACTGCTAGCAGCAGCGGTCTTTATCATAATGGTTTCTTTCTACATTTTAACATAAAAAAAACAAATGTGTCTAATGACAGGGGGAGACAGATTTTATCCTAAATCATCTCTAAGAGACACATCGCAAGCATAAGCAACAAGAACAAAAACATGCGCCTGCCCTTAAGTGACCAAAGACTATAAGAGTATTTTAGCCCTTAGTCTACACAGCAGTGGAGTGGGGTGGGGTGGGGCGGAGTGGTGGAAAGTTCTTAAATGATGCCATTATAGAATTTTGTACAAGATTTAGCCAAAGTGTTTGGACATCTAAAATTACCATGTATCTTTGCAAAGTCAGATTTTAAAGCATCGAGTTGATTCAGGAAGCACTAAGAAACTAATGAGAAGTGCCAAACACCATTTGAACAAAAGGATCTTGGCATGAGATACCACTACTTTTTCCCCTGGGCAATTATTTTCGAGCTGGTATAGCCAAGTAGTCCCGAACAAGAGAATAGCCTGAAATTTGTGTGTGTGTGCGTGTGTGTGTGTGTGTTCTATTAACTCCCCAAACCTAGAACATGGAAAGTGTTGTTTCTACAAATAAGAGGGAAAAACATTAATTGTGAGAGTTAGAAAAGGGTCTTATAACTAACATATTTACATGCAGTTAAGTGCATTGAGGCTGGAGTCCATAGGCAAGGATTTAAACTTGATTTTGGGTAAGTTTCCTCACTTTCTCAAGCCTTAGTTTACTCACCTGAAAATGAGATACATTTGAGGAGGCAGAGAAGTACAGCGCTTTAAAGGAAGGCGGTCTGCATCCTGGCTGGGAATTCTGGCCCTCTCCCTTAACTGGGAATGACTCAGTTCTGTCACTTGTAAAATGGTGATATTTACAATGGTGCCCACCTCGCAGGGTGTCGGGGAGGTGTAAATGTAATAATGTTGTAAAGCACGTACTTGGGTCATGAGTGGTCGCTACCCAGGGCAGTCCTGGTGTGTTACATACACATAGATTATTTATTGGAGTTTGGTATAAAATTTTATTTTTATAAGTTTTTGTGGCTGAATTTGAAAACATCTGCTATCTTCTGCTCTAGACAAGTCTCACGCTATAGACAGGAAAAAGCGAGATGAAAAAGGGTGTTCTTTCAGTTCATGCCCTGGGGACACCTGATTAGGGACGGGCTGTCCCTTGCTCTCCGCCTCTGCACCCTGACTTCTCACTTCAATGGAGCCCCCTCCAGATGGTCACTTCCACCTTTTGACTCTGCTGATCCTGGTCCTGGTCAGGATGATGCCAAAGTTTTTAGACTGACAGGGGAGCATAATGGGGCCAGGAACAGTGATAGCGAAGGCAGAGGCAAGCGCAGGTGGGAGAGAAGAGGGCAGGGTGATTGAAGGGGAAGGGGAAGGGGAGGGAGAGGAGGAGAGAGACAGACTGACCAGACAAGTTGACTGAGGACCGAAGTGATGACTCGGAGCGGGACAGCAGTAATGGAGAAGAAAGATGTTTTGTGAAACTAATAACACAGGGAACAAATAGTAATTTCCAACTAGCACTTACTGAACACTTATTTGTTAGCCAACTTACTATCCATTTTACAGAGATTATTTCATTCAATCCTCCCAAGAATTTTAGGAGGCAGGTACTTCTACTACTCCCTCTTGCTCTCCCACCTCTGCATTTTATAGATGAACAAACACAGGCACAGAGGGGTTGGATAACTTGCTAAAGGGCACATAGCTACTACAGGATAAAGATGGGTTAAAATTGTATTGGGCACATTTAGGGGTCAATGGAAGGAAAAGCACTATCAGTATTATTATAGAAGTGGTAGCATGAGTACTAACAGCAGCAGTGCCTACTATTGACTGAGTACTGTTTTGTGCCCGGCGCTGGGGTAAGTACACATAACATGATCTCATTTAGCTGGAGGGGCAACTTGAGATGGCAGATGTTCTCAGTCCGATAGGAGAGAAAAGGAAACTGACTCAGATGTCGGTAACCTGACCAAAGTTATATAGCTGACAGGTGACAGAGCAGAGATTAAGATCCAGGTCAGCTCCAGTATGAGAGCTCGTAACAAACCCGCCATTCTAGAGCGTGACTGTGCACAGCCACGGAACACTAATTGCTTGTATCCTCAGATTCAATGACTCCAACAGTGGGACCATGGGAATCTCTTGGGTTCTTCCACCATACCTTGTAGCTCAGTAATTCACGGCTGGGTTTATGAATCTAACCTTTCTGGAACTCCCCTAGGTGATTATTTTTTTAAAAAATTTTCTAATGAGACTAAATTTATTCAGTAGCCTGGTAAAAGTTTTGATTATAAGCACCCAACAGTATAAAAAGCGCAAAACAAGATTTGTAAATTTCTAATATATTAATACAATGTGCAGCATATCCTATAGGCAAAGAGGTGGGAGGGAAAAAGTAGTGATATGTAAATAAATACAGGGTAAAGATGGTCCGTATTATAGTGTGTTCTACCACCGCTACTGAAGCCCAAAGGTTCAGAAGGAAGGAACCATGTCCAAGTAACTCAGGAGGAAGACGGTAATGCCTGGGACTCTCGTGACATGGCTGAGAGGTCGTGGGAGAGCCACCCCAACTCACTGTGTGGCCTGCATACAGTGGGATATAGTTTTTTCCAGAAGAAATAAAAATTTTAAGTTCAGATTATGAACTACAAAACTACAGGGTGCCCAAAGAAAGTGGCTCATTCTTTGTTATTTATACGATCCAATTAAAAAAAATCCAGTCTTAAAAATAAGCACTGAGTCATGTCATTATAAGGCAAGCAAATGATCCTTCCTCATTATGGTATGTATGAACTGGTAATACATTTTTCCTGAACTTTTAGAAGAGAAGCAATGAGAGTACTTCAGTTTGGGTTCAAGCAAGAAGTTTTTCCTAAAGATTTTAGAATCACAGGGGTCCATGTTTGGGATTTATTGCCTACCATCTCTGTTCAGAAAGCCTGACTGTAAGCAACCAAACCAAAACCAACCCACTGAGCATTAACCCATACCATTTTTCTTTTAGTAGAGTCTTATGTCAACATAAAGTTGTGGGAGGAAGAAAACCCCAAATCCTAGTAGGTAAAAGCAAGTCCAGTACACGCTCTATGCAAAAAAAAGCTTCACAAAAGTCAACTGAATTAATCCAGAGCAAAAACGGACTTGTGCAGATACTCAATGAAGTCACCTGTTATGTCACACAAACAAAGGTTGTAACTGTCCTCAGTTACAACCAGGTTTAGTGATCACTGTAGCACGTACACAGGTTGGACCTGCTTCTGGCAAGACTGCCAGCTGTGAGGACAGGTTGTGCTCTATTGTGCTTCTCAGCACGAGCACACGGCCCACCCAAGGCTCAGTGTTGGCAGATGCACCCCAAAGACGTTATGACGAGAAATTTTCACCAGGGACCAGGCTCCGGGGTGGGGAGTTCAACTGTCTTGATTTAAGAGAATCCAGGTAATTGGCCTAAATCAATTTCTAGACACCATTTCTCTCTTCCTCTCAAAAGTACACAATAGCATGAGGTCAATTAAAAAGTCTCCTTACCTAAGACTCGTAATCGCTCGGCTCCGACTACCACCTCGTTGTTATCAGCCGAGAAGAGCAGTTTCCCAGAAACTGTCTTTACTTCAAACTTTTGGCCATAAGCTTCTACAGCTTTCGGACCTAGAAGGGAGAGAGGGAGGATACATTAGTCTCATTGCATTCAATTACACATGAGCTTTTCATAGAATGTAGACATCTGACAAGATTGTACTGGACTTTGATTTAAGTGGATTGGTTTTCAGAAGCCAACTGCAAAAATCAGTCTCATAATTTGAGTTATGTCTTGTCAATTACTTATCATAGGCTCTTGGGTTATGATTTTTAAGGCCATCACATCCTTCCTCCAAACTAATGCTTGAATGACATTCCCTCAGCTAACCACCAAATTGCTATCAAATACTTGTAGATTTTGGCTTGAAGATATCTAGCCATGGAAGGCTCACCACCTCCTGAAGCAACCAGCATATCTTGGGCCAGCCCCAACTGTTGTAAAGGGGGCCTTTAAATTTAGCCAGAATTTGTCTCACTCTGTACCCTCAACGTACTGGCTGCACTTGTCACCAGACAAGGGTATTTCCTCAGTATAGATATCATTTCCTGGCAGGAAAGATCACAGTATCTTGCAATTACTTGCCTAGAAAGTTGATTAATCTTTTATGCTAGAATTGCATTCTGCAAAAAAATAAATTTTAGAGGGTTTGTCATATGACAACAGATATTATTCTCAAAGGCGGGGCTACAGCAGCGTAACAAAGACAAGCCCTGGTCCCACGGCACTTATCTCCTGATGGAGACACACAGATAGAAGTTTAAACATGCATAAATAAGTGTATAACTGCGGAGAGTCTGGGGTGCTATGGAAAAAATAAAACAGGTTAATGTGTTAGAATTCCTAAAAAATAGAAAGGAAACAAGTCAGCCTATCTGTGTTGGAGCCAGTTGAACACACGGAGTTCATCAGAATAACCTGGGAGTGCCAGCAACCACCACCTCTCCCGCCCCCGCTAAAGAACCCAGCTCAGACCCAAGGGAATTTATCTTTTGGTCTGGAAATTCATACAGAAAAAACTTCAAGGTTAAGGTCCAGAAACCTTCTATTTAAAGAGAATTTTCCAGGAGATTCTAATATAGAGTTTTTGTTTCCTTCTACTTATTAATAAAAAGTGGTAAAGAATCTTCACATCTTCCAGGAAGAAATGACCAGGAACACACCTGCAGTTTAACGAGTTGGGTTTAGCCGTTATTGCTAGGAGGGGAACACACCACGGGGAACCACGCGAGGCATGTCTGCAATAAGGAAGGGTTTCTTACAGTATCTGGCCTTATATTAGGTTATTTTGGGCAGGCTTTAAGGAAGCAAGACTTTGCTTTGATTAGATGCTGTCAGGAAGTGGGAGTAATTTTATGATTGGTACCTTCATAAATCTTTTTCTACCACCTTGAAGTAGGGCAGACCAGAACAATGCTAAAACTGTAATGAACAAAGAAACAAGTCATATTAGCTTGGGAAGAAGAGTGTTTGGTCATTTTTGTGGTTTGGATAAGTGTTTTTATTCTGTCTGAGCTGTCTTTGTTTTTGTTCTGTTTTTACCCTTCATGTGCACCAAGCAGCTTTGTCTGGTGTTGATGTTCTGTGAAATTATTTATGGTCAAACAGGAGAACACCAAGGCTTAGCTGATACTTCCCAGCCAGCCCCTGGATGTCTGTGGCTGCTTTCCTTTCTGTCAAGGTTATCAGTCCAAGCATCAGAAGATGAGAATTATGTCCCAACTCATTTTCTGGTAATGTGATTTTAGGCAAGACATTTGATCTTTCTTTTTTTTAATCCTCACCTGAAGATATGTGTGTTAATTTGAGGGGGGTGGGGAGGGAGCATGGAGAGGGAAAGAGAAAGAGAAAGAAACATTGATCTGAGGGAGAAACATCGATCAGTGGTCTCCTGAACTTGCCCTGGCTTGGGATTGAACCTGCAACCGTTTGGTGTACAGGACGATGCTACAATCAACTGAGCCACATGACCATGGGATTTGATCTTTCTGATCTTCCTTTTCTGCATCCATAAAACTGTACCATCACCCTATGGTATCTACCTCATAGAAAGGTTAAAATGATCAAATTATACTGTTTATAAAAAGAACTCTGTAAGCCAAAAAGGGCCGTGAAATGCAGGGACTGCTCTTGTGATTATCGTCTTCATTGTGTGTCCACGACCCTGAGCAGGTTTCTCATGCAGCGGTCACAACACATTGAAAAGAATTAATGATGAGAACCTCTTAGGGCACTTGCCTCCTTCACATAATCATGTCAACTTGGAGACCTAACCTCTTGCCAGAACATTCACACTGGCCCTCGGATGAAAATAACGGCACTGGAAAGGCTTCTCCATGAGTGAGGAGCGATTGGAAAGGGTTCTCTACAAGTCGGGAGCTGAAACAGCAGACACAGCACAGAATTTCCAGTGCCCAGGCCCCGGGCATCATCTTCTCTGGCTGCCGTCATGCTGTAGGTGGGAAGAGCAGGTGGGGGAGGCTGAAAGCTCCCTCGCGGTCATCAGGTGAGCTAACGGCAGATCTGGGTCTGGAGCTGAGCTTTCCTCACTGTTTCATGGAAGAAAAGGGATGTTTATTTGTCTAGGAAGGAGAAGGGGGCTGGAGTCCACGTGAAGATCTTTGGGAGGATGAGGGATAGCAGAAAGCCAGAGGCAAGGATGAGAGAGAGCGAGCCTGAAAGAATAGAGATGTGGACGCGGACTTTGGATTAGTTGTCCAGGGAGGTCTAGGAAGTGGGTGCCTTCTTGGCAACACCCAAGCCTTCCAGAAAATATGTATTAGTTGTCAATGTTTTGGGGTTGCTGACTCTTCTTTTTAAGGTGGTTATTCGGGATCGGGAGGTAGAGCAGTGCTAGTGAATGAATGAATGATCGTGCAGTGGGCACAGGTGAGCCCAGTCTGCCCACTCTGGATCCAGTCAGGGGCGAAGTGGTGGCATGACTGGGGAACCCTACTACTTGGACTTTGCCTTCGCAAACCTAGGCGGTACTGTGAGACTTGACGCTGCGGAGTCGAGAACGCTTGCCTCTGTGTGAACCGTGTTTACTATGAATGGTGCGTGAGGCATACAGGAGAGCATGCTGAAGAGACAGCAGGCATCAGAAAACACAAAGTACAATGAACTTCCCTGGCTTCCCGGGGCTTCTCAGAATACAGACTGGAATCTACCCAGGGCCTGAACCATTTGGGCATATAAGGCTCATTGATTAGTAGTTGTAGCCAAAACCCCCTAGAGAAGCTGCTGGCTCAGTGGTGCAGATGGGTTTGTGTTTCTGTCAGTTTCACCTGGGGCTGCCAAACCTCTGAGCACATGGTGAGATATTAAAAAGAAAAAAAGGGGGGGGGGGGAAGAGCACAATGATTCTAGAGAGAAATATAAATGGAACTAGAGACTGCAGAGATTGCTCAGGAGATCCCCTGGTGAACCCATTGCTCCCTCTCTGGGATAGGAAAAAAAAAAATCACTTCTTGTAACCTGTAATCTCCAGTTAATCCCCCTCTGTGCACGGTAGTCTGTGTGGGAAGCAATTTAACCGTTAATCTCAGCAGGGAGACCTGGAATCTAACAGGGGGTTTAGCAGCATCCCGGTCAGGCCACTGCCCCCAACACGGGAACGGGAAAAGCCTGCAGTCTACCCAGCCTCATTCTTTTCCCCAACTCCCTTGATACTGGGTCTCTACTCCGCTCTGGCAAGATGCTATGGAAGAGTCCACCACAATTTCATTCTTGCAGGTCAGAAGGTTTCCTGTTTGGACTACTCCTGGGCTGATGCTAAATCAGCTGCAGTCTGAGTCAAATGTGCATTTGAGGTCTAGCCTGGGAACTTAACTATCACTTAAAACACTGTTTCATGTGACAACGTTACCTGAATTGCTAATAGTGGAATTTCTTCTGGGCTTTGGAGACATTCTTTAGGTAAGCCCGGGAATTCCTGAATCCTCTGATTGCCTTAGTAAATCTGGCCTCTGGGACAACAGGAATGATTTGCTCATGGGGAAGTACACGACCAAGGATAACGGGCTTTACAAGAAACTGTCTCCCGGAACTGCCCTGCGCATCCACCATGTGCATACGTGGAAACGGAGAACCCTGAAGGAAAACTTTAGGGGCAGCTGAGTGCGTGTGGAGGGGAGTGCTTAGAGTTATACTTTGAACATATCTGCTCTCCTCTTTAGAAATTGTCTTGAAAGGTTCTTATGGGCTAGTGTTAGGATGGCTTTTTCTCCTCTCACGTTAATGTTAGCTATCTTGTGCCTTGCCTTGAGATTATGGACAGATCTGTCAGATCCCAAGAGGGTCTCACTTGGGCAGAGGAGACAGAAAAAAGTGAAGACAGGGAAAGAGGGAGGCAAGAGAGAGGGAACAGAAGAGGAAAGAGAGAGAGTGGGGAGATTAGGAGAAAGAAAGAAGGGGCAAAGGGCCCTGGACAGGGGGTTCAGTTGGTTGGAGCATAGGCCTGTGCACCAAAAGTTATGGGTTTGATCCTCAGTGAGGGCACATACCTAGGTTGTGGGTTTGATCCCCAGCCGAAGAACGTATGGGACACAACCAATCAATGTCTTTCTCCTTTCCTATCTCTCTGAGATCAATAAACAATCTCAGGTGAGGATTTTAAAAAAGGGGGGGTGCAGAGAAAAAGAGAAGAGGGAAGAAGAGAGGAGAGGAAGGAGGAGAGAGAGAAAGGAATCACAGTGCGGGGGCGGGGGAATGGGAAGGCTAGGGAGCAGGAGAAGGACGGGGGGGAGACACTGACTGTTCGCTGAAGAGTAGTCATTTGGGCAGGTCCAGCTTTGTCAGAACAAAATCTCTCAAATGAACCAAATCTCCCACCATGAATAAATGGCAAATGATCAACAGACTAAATAAGCTCCTTTTGAATGTGGAACACTGGAGCTGGAGGTTGGATTTATTCCCCTCCTGGAGGCAATTTACACACATGCCACTTAAATCACTGCTTACTGAGGCTGTTTATTTAATTATTTAGCATGGTGACTTCGGGCCAGATGTTCTATAAGCACCGCTGACAATGCACTCTCACGCCAGAACACCATGTTTACAAATTCCTTCCAACCCTGAGCTCCCCACTGGTGGTAGATGGTCCAAAGTCACCCACGGGCCGTGGGTCCCCAGACACCCACATGCAGGGCTCCTGCGGGGCAGACAGCAGGACACGGCACCCAGGCACCTGTTTCACTGCCACATGCGCATCAGTGGGGCTGCAGATGTTTTGGTCACAGTAACGTTTCAGGGCATTTGGGCAACTGGCTTCTCAAAACGTCCATCTGCATAATTTTCCCTCAGCCCGAAGCCAAACAAATGGCTTTTTCTGTCTGGAAGTATAACAATGCCAGTTGACACACACCCCTTTTCCTTTCCACCGTGTGGCCCGTGCGGGCTCTGCTTACTGCTGCTCGTAACACACAGAGGGGGCACTGGTCGTACCACGGCCACGAGGCCCTTGTCTGTCATTGTAAGCACTGTCATGAGTGACCGGTCCTTGTTTAAATTTGAGGAATATGCAGTTTAAAACCCAGTGGGTGCTTTCCACCGCTGCCAGGAGCCAATCTGCTGTATTAAAAGGAACCACTCAAACATATTTAGTGGGGGTACATCTGCATCTTGCAGCTGAGTTAGGTTCAAAGTCAGCATGTACGGCAAACATGGCTGCATTCACACTACCGTTAAAAATTCCTTTTACACGCCATAAAGTGTGGCACGCATGATTATGTGGACATTGTGCTCTCTCTTGGTTAATCCAACACAGTCAGCTTTTCCTCCAGCACTGGAGCAGAGCGTTTCTCTGTGGTCGAACACCAGAGGAAGCAGCTGGCTTGTGTTTAGGGGCAATGCTGCATGAAAAATAGTTTATTCCCCCTTAAACAAGTATCACTGGATTTGCGTAAGTTAAATGTATGTCTATAAAGACACTACCCTGTGGTGGTATCATGAAGCACGGGCTTCCTTCTCTTTCTCCGCACTGTAAAACGTGCTAGCAGACGTTGCTTTCTTTAGTTCACATGGTGCTACGTTCAAGTTTTGGTTCTACATTTTCTGAGTGCTTAGCATGGACCAGACACTGCTAAGTTTTTACTTCTCTTACCTGTTATCAGCTGAGTTAGCACTTTAGTCTGGTCATTGAGAATGTTCACGGTCACATTTCTGGCTGATTTGAAGTACAAAGCATTACCCTGTAATAAGAAAATAAGATAAACACATGAAAATGACAGCAGATTTCTAAATGAAAAACCGATTTTAGGCAAGTTCTAATTGATGTCTTTATTTAAAAACTACAAGTGTTTAATGATCCTCACATGTGATAATTAATTGGCATTCATCCAAAATGGATTTCCTCCAAAGAAATACACAGGTAGATACTATTGAGAGTTCACACACACACACGGCTGAATCAGAGACACCTGGGCGACCGAGCCCTTTCATTGTAGTTAGCATTACATGGAGTGATCAGGAGTGACGGGTACCCTCCTAACCTCACCTTTCCTAGTTTATCATTTGTCCAAAGGAACCAAGCAGAGCCCCTGATGGAGAGCAGAAGCCTGTGTAAGGCAGCCCACGCCTGCCCTACGCACGTCCCTGGCTGCGAGGGCCCAGGGCTCCCGAGTGAGATGGAGCAGCCCTCCTGTGGAGCTGCTCGCCCCGCTGGCGCACAGCGCCCGGGAGACCTGCGGCTCCTGACGCCCTGTAGGCCTCCGCCTCCCCTTTCTTCCTGTTCTGGTTTCCAGATTTCTCTTCCTTCAAGCATTTTGTGCCTTCACCCCACGTCCCTTTTCTCAAAAAGGCCATGTGATCCCTCATTCTCACTGTGGCAGAGCTTACTGAGAATGACTCAGAACAGGGGCTGGCATGCTTTTGCACAGGGTCTGACAGTCAACAGTCTGGGCTTTATGGGATGTACAGTCTCCGTGGTAACCACTCAACTGCTGGCGGCTGTTCTGGTGCAAAACGGCCACAGACAATACACGACAAATGAGTATGGTTGCATTCCCAGAACACTTTATTCATAAACAATGACAGTAAAAAAATTCAAATTTAATGTAATCTTACCATGTCATAAAGTATCCCCCCCGCCCATCATTTAAAAATGTAAAAATGATGCCATGTGAGAACGGCAGAGGGTTGGAATTGGCCCACAGGGCGCAGTCTCCCACCCTCTGGCTTAGAGTTCTCCCCTTCCTGGGGCACACTGAAGCCATAAGCTAAAAGATGAACCCTGATGGAACATCTCACGAGCAGACAGTTGTCATGAGCAAAAAGGATGTGCGCAGTCATTCTCGTCTCTCTAAACCTTTGTTACCACGTGGCATATATCTGCCTGAAAACTCAGTATGTAATCCCAGTATCCACTGAGTCCCAAACGCAGAAACACCACCGTCGTACAACTCAGTCTTTACTTGTGAAGTCTTATATTCTGATGCAGACAATGAGATGGGCACATGTAACACCAGGCAGAGAAAGGCAGAGTGATTAGGGAGCTACAAACGCAGTGTTGGGGAACCGTTCCTGAATGGTATGATTATTCACAGCATGAAGCTGTGGGGTGGGAAGCAAAGGAGGTGTGAATGCTTGAGCCAAGCTTTGCAAAGAACACAGATATGGCTTTATTGTGATGCAATGAAAAAAGGAGGTCACGTCACGGAGGTAGGACAGCTGTGGGCTGATTGTCTAATGTCTTTTCCTTCTAGAACTGGTGGGTGTAGAACCGGATTAGTGAGCCTGTCCCTGTGCCTGCATGTGGCAGGGCTGTCCGGACAGGCAGCCAACGCCACGGCCCAAGGTGGTTTCCGCCAGTGAATGAGGGAAGGGGTGGCCAATGCCAAGGCGTTTAACCACAGGCAGATGGTCTGGAGTTACGGTCTCTCTCACCCAAGGTGAACCGCTACAATGGATAACCAATGCCCGCAATGCACGGAGGCCCCGAGTAGCCTGCTAACCTGGGGTGAGAGCTGCTGTCCCGGGGGGCGGGGAGGGGAGAGGGCGACCTCCGCTACAGTAGGCAACCACGGGTTCACTAGTCCCCTACAGCAGCTTCAACGGACATTTTACCTAATGAAAAAAGTTTTTTGTTTTTTTTTAATTGGGTTAGAGAAGAAATGCATTAAATCTAATACTGACATAGGCTTTCTTCCGTCCATTAGGAAACAAAAATCAGCCAGAAATATTTTTTCTGGCAGTGTTTAATGGATGTACTTACAACTTAAAAACAACTTAAAAATGTGAGAATTCAGCGCTTGGAACCTGGACAGGAGGTTGTATGTTTCTACAAGTGAATGTTCTAACATTTCTGTTTGCAGATTCATCAAACCGATGCCACAGAGAGAAGAGCAACCTGGAATCAGAGACCTGGATCAATTGCTCTGCCACTGACCAGGGTGTGGCCTTGAGAAAATCGCCTCACTGTTCTGTGCCCTGTTCCATGCATTCTCCACTGCCACCGCCTCACGGCTCATGCAGCGGAGCCCTCACCCTGCACCGCGTGTGCAGGGGCAACCTGGACTCAGCGCATCTTGCTTCCAGTCTCCACCACTTCCTAGCTGGCTCACTTTGGGCACGTTACTTAATTGTGTCAACCTTCAGTTTCTTGATAAGTAGGATGGTGCAATCTAATTATTATTAAATTATCAAAATATACATATGACTACAATTGTTAAATTCTATGTGTAATAACAGACATGTTTCAGTGCTGGGCACACAGTTAAGTCCTTTGCAGATGCTATGGTCAGGGGACAGGTATGGCGGAGCTGCGGCTGATGAGGAAGATCAGAGCTCTGAACCAGGTCCGCTCACAGTTCTTCTGGGCCCGGGATAAGGCTGCCTGAGAGGCTCCGACCAGAACAGAGACATTGTGCCACCTCACCCCCGGAGGGCGGGGGAGAAGCACAGTCCACATCAGCGCTCTCCCCAAACCGCTAGAGCAGGCAGGGTTTGGACAGAGGAGAGTCCCCATCACATCTGTTTTTCTAAAGCAGGAGAGAACCAAACCTTTTACTGCTGACTCTAGATAGATCAGGGGTCCCCAACCTCCAGGCCGCAGATGCGTGTAAGGCGCCTGAATCATCCCGAAACCCTCCCTACCCCACCTGTGGAAAAATCATCTTCCATGAAACCGGTCCCTGGTGCCAAAAAGGTTGGGGGCCGCTGCTCTAGACCACTGAAGTAAACGCTGCTTGTCCTGCCATGCCCTCCAGGGGCACCTGCCGGCACACGCGTGGCTGTCTGAATACTGAATGGCTCCAGCCCGCCCATGTTCTAAAATTATTACATCTGAGTTTTAAAAATGTATTTTTTGCTCTCATATCACAACTGCACATAAACATCAAATACCACAAAACCTGTTCATACCCCTCACCACTATAAGACCAGAAGGGGGCGCTGTAATAAATCTAACTGAAAGTAACCCTTAATCCCTAACTGGGCAGGTCATAGTGGGTAGTCATGCCCCAGGTCTATGACTTCTTCAGTAAAATGTTTAAGCAAGTCCTGTCCATTGATCTTGTACATTTAGGTTACCACACCTTGAAACACCAGGAGTAATCCTCTTTTCCATACCTCTCCAAGGCATAACCACCCTCAGGAGACCATATAATCTTGCCAACTATCCTGTAAATTGCTTTCTCCTCCCTTCATGTGATACTTCACTCTCTCCTTAATTCCAAAGGTATAAAGGAAAGGGCAAAACTGTCATTCTCTGGAGCAATGGAGATCTTGCTTCCCAGAAATGTCGTCACTTTTGGCTCAAATAAACTCTTATAAAAATTCTCCACAGGTTTGGATGTTTCTTATGTCAACAACAGGAAACTCCTCTGTGGCCCAAAATACACTTCTCTGTGATCTCTTGATTTATCAACTTTAGACATTATCCACTGAATTTCTGCAATGGTATGGACCCTTTGTTACAACTTTGGTTAAAACAATGTTCAGAATCTTCATTATGATTGTTATATTGTCCACAGCTGAAGCAAGTAGTGTTAACTACACATCCTTTTTCTTTCTTGAACCCTTTTTCTGTTCCTGAAGTCAATAAATGTTTCATTTTTTTTAAGTGCTTTTATTTCCCAGGTGGTTTTTTTGTTTTGTTGTTGTTGTTGTTATTGTTGTTCTAATATTTAATCCTTTTTCTTTAGGTTCTGCTTTCTGGGAAATACCTGCAACTTTAAGTTCCAATCTTTCTGCTGATTTTCTTTTAACTTCCACTGTCATACCTTTAATTTTAAGAGCTTTTTCTGGGTCTTTGAACCTTCCTTCTTGCACTCTCCCCTCCTTGTTTGATTGATGTGCTATCCTTTCTTAGACAGGAATGAAAAAGCTGGCTGGAAGCTCCGCGTTTCTAGAGGGGTGAACGTCCCCACAGCGGACAGCAGCAGGGGTTCGGCCAATTCAGTGGCGAGCCCCCAAGTCTGCGGGCAGTCTGTACCCGCGGGCGAATTTCGTCAGAGAGGAATCCTCTAACTCCTGACAGGATGGTAGTGGGGGCAACTTCAGATAGAACAGTTCCGAGGGTCGGAGGAGAAGGCGGCTATGCATTTTGCTGTTCAGGGACAGGCTTTCAATTAAACTTGTTACAGTGACTCATGTATAACTTCATCTATGTTTCATGTCGGGAGCCCAGAGGTACTCTGGTCAAACTTTCTAGAAAATAATCCTCCTATTTTTTGCTAGGCCGAGAGGAGGTTCTTGCTTACTTGGGTCAACTGGGGATAGAAAGAGAGTCTAAAGGGCCTTTATGCAGATTTTCCAAGTCCTCTTTTTCAGCCCCATTCCAGGGTGCATTATGCCCTGGGCACTGTGTCTCAAGTGCCTCGTGGGTTAGTGACCCTGGTCTACTCACTGCATACGGTGGCTTTCAATCCAACAGGCACACCATCATTTTCTCTCTATCACTTTCTCTCCCTTTCTCTGTGACCATGTACATTTATCCCTTTTCAGTTTTGTTCTCCATTTTGTCTTTTTCAGGGGGTTTTTAATGCAGCAGGGATCTATCAGTTCTCAATGTGATCAGTTCATCTACCTCTAGAGCAACTTCATACTACTGCCTTCTTAAGAGGAAAGCAGGCTGAGGTGGTAAGTCAAGAATACACAGTGTCTGACCCAGGACCCAAGGGCTTCTGTTAAGCATGTTATATACGCTCACTGAGTACCTAGAACAGTTACAGGCTATCCTAGGCCCTGCAGA